AAGAAATCTGCATGCAGCAGCCGGAAGGTTTTGAGAACTCAAATGATAATTTTGTGTGTAAATTATCTAAGAGTTTGTATGGCTTGAAGCAGGCACCAAGGCAGTGGAATAAGAAGTTTGACTCATGCATGAAGAGTCAAGGCTACAAGAAGACTACTGCGGATGAGTGTGTATACATCAAGAAACTTCCAGACGGTACCTTCATTGCTCTTCTATTATATGTAGACGACATGTTGATCGTTGGGAAAGATGCAGTGAAGATAAACCAGCTGAAGAAAGAACTCTCTAAGTCTTTTGATATGAAAGACTTAGGACCGGCTCAACAGATTCTTGGGATGCAGATCACTCAAGATAGGAAGAGTCGCAAGTTATGGCTATCTCAGGAGAAGTACATTAAACGATTACTTGAAAGATTCAACATGAATGATGCCAAACTAGTAAGTGTTCCACTTGTGAATCACTTCAAATTGAGCAAAAGAACATGCCCTATATCCAAGGAAGAGATCAGGGAGATGTCAATAGTTCCATATTCTTCAGCAGTTGGGAGTTTGATGTACGCCATGGTATGCACAAGGCCAGACATCGCACAAGCAGTGGGTACAGTGAGTCGTTTTCTCTCTAACCCCGGGAAGGAGCATTGGGATGCAGTCAAATGGATTCTCAGGTACTTGAAAGGTACCACGAAGTTATGTCTTTGTTACAGAGGAGCTGATCCAGTCTTGGAAGGCTACACAGATGCTGATATGGCATGAGATACTGATAGTAGAAAGTCTACTTCAGGATATATCTACACTTTTGCAGGGGGAGCCGTTTCTTGGCAATCAAGATTGCAGAAGTGTGTCGCTTTATCTACAATAGAAGCAGAATACATTGCTGCCGCTGAAGCAGGTAAGGAAATGTTGTGGCTAAAGCATTTTCTCCAAGAACTTGGGATCCAACAGAAAGAGTACAAGGTACATTGTGACAGTCAGAGTGCTCTAGACTTGAGCAAGAACTCTATGTACCATTCTCGTACAAAGCATATTGACATTCGGTATCACTGGATACGGGAGACGATTGATCAACAACTGTTGAGATTAGTGAAGATCAATACAAAGGAGAATCCATCAGACATGCTGACGAAGGTGGTGACACGAGATAAGCTAGAGCTGTGCAGAGACATAGTCGGGATGCTTGTTTTGAATATGCCTGGAAGGGGAGAATTGAAGAATTCAATTTCCAGGTCATATCCAAGTACAAGAAAATTGAAGAATCCAATTGCAACATGCATGAAGCTTCCTCCATGTGCAAGCAACAACCATGAAGCTTCCTCCATGTTCAAGAATGACAAAGGGAGCTTCCTCAACCACCATTGAAGTTTCCTCATGTTTAATCCCACCTTCCTCCCACCTTCATAGTACCTAGTTTTGGTGCTATAAATAGAGAGCTTGGAGAGTCTTTCTATCAACAAGTAAATTAGAATAGATCATCATATCACAACCAAGAAGAGTTGTGAATATCCTTGAGAGATATGTGAGGTGTTGTTTTGAGAGTTTTTAGTTAGAGCTTGTATGTGTCTTCTTTCTATTCTTGAAAGTAATAGAAGTGTTTTTCTCTCATATTAGCACGATCCTGTTATTCCCAACATGTTCAGTGAGACCATCCTATTTAACATATCTTGACCATGCTCAGTGGCTTGGTTTGGACAAAGAACTGAAGCACCTTGTGGTAAAAACCACCCCAAACCTTGTGAGACCATTCTATTTTCATAATAATCATTTTTTTTCTTTCCTTTAATTTTGTGCAAGTTCTACCTATTCTAAAGGGTCCATTGGTTACTAAAGGACTAAACCTGGTGCCCCTCCTAGGCATAGATGTTTGGGAACACACATACTACTTATATTTTGTTATTTACCCTGCAACCTAGGCTTATGTGAGTTTTATGACTTCAACTATTTAACTTTGGTGAAGTCAATTTGAGTATCCTCTGTTTAATTAATAAGTGTTGTTTTAGGTGTTCACGCACACTATAACAAAAAGATGATTTTTTCTATCAAGCTAAAGTATAGTATAATATGACCAGAAAAACTTTATGGTTGAGTTTTATGACTTCAATAATTTTTTCTATCAAGCAAAAAAATATTACTCCTCGTATCTCGTGTATATTCAATAAACTTGACACCAAATCAATTGGCAATTCAAATAGTAATTCAAATCAGGGCTAACATTTTATTTAGTGAGGAGTGAATAAATTAGAGACGATACACTTACCTTAAGCTGTTCCGGAGTGGATTGAGCCGATGTGGCAGATCGGTGCGACCTTATGGATGACGATAGGATCTTGTTGACGACGAGGCCAGCCTTTCGTTTGGCAGATTGGTGCGACCTTAGCCAACGCCAATTTCTTCCTTTGAGAAACACCCTGATTTCCCAGACCAGATTCTTCCTTTAGCGGGTGCCGAAAAAGAAAGATGGGCTCGCCTCGCCTGGTTTTCGTTAAAGAAAGATGGGCGTATGGTTTGGGAAAGGAAGGGCCTCTTTGCAATAGGGCTGGCAATATCACCCGCACCCGCGGATACCCGGTCAACCCGAACAACAAATATGGACGAAAACCCGAAAAAGTATGGATGAAAAATGGATGACGGGTGCATTGAAAGATGGGTTGGATGGGGTGTGGATGAACAACCATCCAACCCGTCACCCATCGACCCGTCACCCGCTCAATCCACACACCTACTAACCCACATATAAATATATGTGTGTGTGGGTGTGTGTGCGCGCGCGCACACACACACACATATACACACATATTATATAATATCTATTTAATAGTATATATAATAATTAATATTAATATATTAATAGATATGTATTTGTTAATGGAGAAGACACATATCTATGAATTGGTGAAGGAATTACAATTGGAGAGTTTCAAGAAATGGCATTTGAGCTACAAAAATAGTTTTGTGCCGATGCAGACATCTATAATTTGACAGTTTGAATTTTTTTATGTCTATTTAGTTTGACAATAAGTTCTTTCTTTATCGGTAGTTAATTAATGATTGTAATATATATTCAATTGCTCGATTTTTTGTTGTTATTATTCAATGAATTCTTATTTATTGGTTTTTAATTGTGATGATTTCTCTTTATAATTTATTTATTTTCTATTTCAAGTTAGACCATTTATATTCACCAGTTACTCACCCGTTACTCACCCGATAACCCATTCATAATGGATGAGTTGAATGTGAATGTAATTTTTAATGGATGATGGACGAGTGGATGGAAAATGAAAAATTAACGGGTGGACATGAATGAGCTGAGCCTTCACTCGGTATTAACCCGACCCACCGCCACTCCTACTTTGCAATAAACGTTTTTTTTTTAAAAAAATATTGTGACGTGGATTAAAAACCCACTCAGATTGTGCGAGCTTGAGAACCCACCAAAACATGTTGTAAAACAGGTGCACCATAAAATTTTGCTTACAATTACTCCGTATAATTCAGCTTAATGGCAAAGAAAGGAGTATCCATCACGTCACTATCAATCCTAATCCTTTTTGAGAGAATGCATCCCCATACTTCAATTTATTTGTCATTACTCATACTCGTACGAAATGCCAGCTACTCATTCACACGAAATCCTCATTTTAGTACTTTGGTTTGACAATAATAATTATCACTCCCCCTATTTAGGAGTGTTTGGATCTCATTCTTAAAGCTGTTTCTGCTTCTCCAGGGAGCAGAATGTTGGAATGTTTATGAAAACTGATTCTGATTCTGCTTCTTCTTTAAAAAAGAAGCAGAAGCAGAATCAATTTCAAACACCCCCTTAAATGACCTAGACACTAGCTTTGGGCAATTGTGCACAATATTTTAGGATAGAATAATAGGGATAGTGAATACTGCATGTAGAAAAAGTAGAGGAGAGTGTGTAAAAGTATGAACGAAAAGATAAAAAGTAGATAAAGTAAGGCTAGTTATGTACTCCCTCCGTCCCCTTTTAAATGTCCCGTTTTACCATATTGAGATGTCCCTGTTTAATTGTCCCATACCTTATTTGGTAAATTTTGTGTGACTCAAAATCATTCTTACTTTATCAATTAATATCAACCACACAAACTCACTTTTCTTAAAACCTGTGCCACCATCTCCCGTTCCATTTCAAAGGGGATGGAAGGAGTATTTTATAAAAGGTAAACTTACCAAAAATGAAAATGTAGAGAACTTTTAAATACAACCCTAAAAAGAAAGTGTGAAGAACTTTTAAATACGGATGAAGTAATAAAAGTTGTAATTACAATTTGTGAATTATAAAAGAAAGGTTGTAGATTGTATATTTGATTTAAAAAATGTGACAATTATTTAAGATTATATCACTAAAATAAATATGATTTACAAAAATATAACTAGCAATTGAAGTAGTAAAGAAATCATAATAATTTATGTTTGATTTTTAAATTAAAATTAACATAACACTATGAATGTTTTTACTTGGACTGTAATATGTCCTAGACCAGACAGATCAGACGAGACGAGACCAGACTTGGATAGTTATAAAAACACAAAGAAATTAGACCAGATCAGACCAGTCCAGACCAACATATTACAGTCCAAGTAAAAACATCCATATATTGTACAAAGTACTACGTACTACTCCCTCCGTCCCATTTTACATGTTCTACTTTTCTTTTTGGGTTGTTCCAAATTAAGTGTCTTCTTTTCTTTTTTTTGAAAGAAATATGTGGTCTACGCCATTTCACTTTATTATACTTAAACTTCAACCACAACTTTTACTTTGTCAACCACTTCATTAGTAACCGTGTTAACACATAAAATGGAAAAATGTAGTAATTATTACTCATATTTATTTAAATAAATTTAATTTTAGTAACATATTTGTGAACAAAGCAAGGGACCGAGTAAATATCTTTCTGTGTCATATCATATTGTCATTATTATCCTCGACACAAATATATCATGGGTCAACAATATTCTTCCGCGTCCCTCCGGCAGCTGGCTCCCTGCTCCATCCTCGCCACTCACCCCTTCTCCTTCACTCTCTGCACCGCCTGTAGCGCCGCCTTCGCCAACATCAGCACCGTCTCTCTCACCCTAAGCCTAAGCTGAAGAAGGACTGAAGAAGTAGCCCCCCTCCGCCAACCCTGCTTGAGCAGAAATCGATGGTGAAGAGGAAATCCGGTGAGATTAACAATGGTGAGAGGTTAGCGGCTCCGTCCAGACCTAAAATCGGTACCCTTTTTGTTTTTATGATTTCCCTTTGTTCCCATTTCCCATTCCACTGCAAATTTGTCCGTTTTAGAAACAATAGGTTAAAGCTCATTTGGTAACACTCAAAATTTGTAGGATGAGCTGGTTTTGCTGAAATTTATGAAGCTTTAGCTGATTCAGCTGATTTATAGAAAATTAAAATATTTTTTATTAATAAAATAAAGAAAAAGTTATATGAAAAATGATTCTAGTTTAACTTCACCTGATACAGTCACGAAAGTAAATACAATCTTAATTTTTCATATTATTACACAATTCAGTATATTATTACATAATTCAGCTCGTGAAAAAATTATGGATAGAGTAATTTTACTTGGTCAAAAATACTTCTTGAAAACTAATTGTGTTTGCGAAGATGTTTTCCTGTAAAATATTTTGTGAACATCCTTTGTGGATCCGTAAAACATTTTTGAGAATATATTTTCCTGAACCTTCATTCTTTAGGGTATGTTTGAACCCTGGAAAAAACTAGGAAAGGAAAGGAAATGATATGCAGAATTACTATCTTATGTTTTGATTTAACTCTCAAAATGCAGATGAGAAGGATGTATGGAAAGTGTTTTTAATTTATGTAACATATGGTAGATTGTTTAATATGTTTATAGTATGGTGTGTAAATGCTGAACTAAGGATGTGTCTGTGTTTCAGAGAATAACCAAACCAATGACTATCTAATGTCAAAGTTTAGATGGAAGATCGATAACTTCTCGCGTTTAGATGTTGAAAGGCCTTACTCTTCAGTGTTTAATGTAAATGAGTACAAGTGGTATGCCTCTAATTGGAGATAATTAAGTGAGAAAGATAAAATATTATGTATTCGGCTCCCAATTTTTATTCTTAGTATTTTTGGCTTTTGCAGGAGGTTGTTGCTTTATCCAAAGGGAAACAATACAGCTCATTTGTCTCTGTACCTCGGTGTGCCTGACCTGCATAGTTTACCCAATGGTTGGCGTGTACCTTCAAAGTTCAGTCTAGCCCTTATTAACCAGTTAGACCCAAAGAAAACCATTAAGAAAGGTATATCATTATGTCGAATGAGTAGTTGTGACAAATGACTGTTGTAATTCTGTTTCTATCCTCTAGTTGTTGTTTTCTCTGCATCGTTGTGCAGAAGCCAAACATGCTTTCAATGCTGATGAAAGTGACTGGGGCTTCACTTCATTCATCACACTTCATGAGTTTTATGACAAAGCTGAAGGTTATCTTGTTAATGATACATGCCTGATCGATGCTGAAGTATATGTTCCTGATGGTTCTTCATGTGTGATGAACAATGCTACTTCTCCTGTTTCCCCATATCAAGTAATTAAGTAAACCTAACCTAAACCCTACATGCTTTATTGTCAAGTATCTTTTTGCAATAATGACAAATATGTGGCTCAAATAAAAGTAGTGGACAAGATTACGACTTTTAATATAGTGGTATTTTGTCCTTGAGTGACTAGAGTAAGTGACCATGATCATATTTAGTTATACATTATAGTGACTATGCTGGTATTTGACTGTTTTTGAGTAACAGCAGTGACCATGTACTTGTATTTTTTTTCTCTGAGTTGTATTTTAATTATATGCATTTTTTCTAAACGTAACCGATTCTTCTATATTTCTTTCTGGGATTGATCAGGCTATTGATTCATCTTCTTCTTCTGCTGTTGCTCTTGATCCTGTGGAATCTGTGTACTCTCGGGTTCAATCTGTTCTCAAGTCACTACCCAAGTCACCGTCCAACTTAGCATCTGGTGCTATTCCATGTGAAGTTCCTTTGTTTAAAGACCGTGCAACTTCTGCAAAAGAAATCTTTGACAAGCTGATAGCATACCCTTTGGAGGACTTAGCTGATCCCCAGCATGAACCTGCAATGTTGGAGTCACTCTCCATACTCACTAAAAATCTTTCTTTGTTCAGCATTGGGCAGGCTGAAGAGATTTTGAACTTGAATGATTCTTTTCCTCAGATGATGCGGGAGTGGAGGGAATTGAGTAAAGTCAAGGGGAGCAGTGAGCATCTTTGGGCTACTTTTGAGAAGACGAAGCGTTTGCTGGAGGATTTAGTGAAAACGGATGAAGGGATAAAGAGTAAATTGGAGGTGCTAGTTAGGAGGGAAAAGGAATTGAAAGCTGAGCTGGAAAAAATTGAAAGCGATTCTCAGCAATTGAAGGTGGAAAGAGGAGAAGTGTCGAAACAGACTAAGAAAGTGTGTGCTCTTGCTGAGGAGCAGGCTTGCATTATTGAAGGAAGAGAGGCTGAGGTGGATGGCGCCAACAAAAAGATGGAGGGTTTGAAGTCCAAATGGGATGCTACGAGACTTCGTCTCGTTGCTTGAAATGAAGAAAAATTAGGCTGTGTCTAGCTACTTTGTAAGTGGTAGGTATTGCTTATTAACCAACCTTATTAAGATTATCAACCATTAGAAGAAAGGCTGAGGTGGAAGGTGCCAACAGAATTAGTCAATTGTAGGTATTGCTTATTAACCTTATTAAGATTATTAACCATTGGAAGTGAATCTGTTAAGAATGTTGTTTCATGGAATCCTATGTTTGTTTTAGGTTCTTCTCCAGGCCAAATGCATGTGAAACTTCTTCAGCCATTAGTTAATGATAAATTATAAATGCACTGGCTGCTACAACTTAAATAAAGTTAATGTACAAAATAAAATGCAAGTAAAATAAAAATTGATTACAATTTATATCTTTTACATATGTTTTCGTTGCTCAGTATTTGTAAATTATAAGTAAACAATCTTGCTCCCATTTTTTTCAACTTTTTATATTATTCTAATCTCTAATATCTTAATCGTGGATATTAGTCTTAGGTATCGAAACTGACCATAGTCCAGACTACTTGAATATGAGTTGTGCTACGTGACTACGTCTGCCTATGAATGATTGAATCATCAAATTCCTTAAATTTTCTCCTATTCATTACCTATTTTACCTCTTATTATTCTCCAAAGTTAATCACAGTCGATCATAAAAGTTCTTGGTGTTCGTTGGCTAACTTAAAAACGTGCATGAACCAACTAATTAACTATTTTTCAAGAATATTTTAACCTATTATCATTAAGTCTAAGAATGGTTCCAGACATGAGTCATTCGTGTTACTTGGTGCTTAAATGAACTCAGAGTCGTCTTATGGATTTTGAAAAATGTTCTAATTGTCAAATTAAAGTCACACAATACAATAATATCAAGTTAACAAGATATTATATAAGGCAGTGTTACAAGTCAACACATCCAGAGGCCGAAACCTACCAACCATATCTGAAAAAGGCGATCAAATTTCACAACAAATTAAATACAATAGGGCTCTCTTCGCTTCAGTTGGGATTCCCACACAAAATTTCAACTGTTAAAATGTTAAAGTCTCTAGACTTGTAGCTTCATTTATTTCTTGTACTCACTTGGCTTGTTTTCCATTTATTCTCTTGTAACCTCAAACGTTTATTAATAAAATTAGGAAGTGTTCCCCGGCAAAAAAAAGATATTATATAAGGCCTTTTTTATGAATATTACTGTATAAAAGTTGAAGATAAAAAAGTGACTTTAGAATGTTTTTTCCTAAAATGTTACTAGTCTCATGTACACGTGGGTCTACAAATTAAGACTACCGTGTTGGGGCCATTTTACACAACCATTTGCAAGCGAAAAAGGGAGCATTTAATTAAGTCAAAGAATAAAGTGCAACAGAAAGCACAATTTTAGGAGAATTGAAGTTATTTTCAAGCTTTATTTGTAGAACCATGAAATCAAGGCATACGATGTGCTGAAAATTTTAGATTTTGGGAAAACGGAGATTAGGGAGTCGGAGAGAGAGAGATGCAATGGCTTATAGCTATATGCGTGCGAGAATAAGAGGCACGTTTGATGTTATTAAGTAGTGTTAGCGAAGGAAAACAGAAAAGTTTTGCTATAAATTATAGTTCATGCATTTTCACTTCAGTAGGTCCTATAAACACGCAATAGTAATAGGTGTATGGGTAGTCACAATGTGTTTTATTCGAAACTAGTCTTTTACGCACGGGAGAGCACGCCAATCCAAAAGTTAATTGAAATTATTAGAATAAATGATACTTATGAATAGTAAAAGAAAAGCAACCTCAAATATAAAAAGAAGTGTATGTATTGCATGAGATAGGAGTACATTTTAAATATACTTGAATCTTCATGAATTTGTATATAAAATATAAAATATAAATTTGATTCTTTTGCTACATTACTTGTACTACCTAATGAAATGAAATTAGGTATAAAAGTTGGGCATAAGTATTCTGTCAATTTTATCTCTTTTCTCATATATCAATACTATTCTGTTTTAGATTTTTCTAGTATATTTAATTTAATGTTATATTTATATGTTTTCCAAGCAACCCTAAATTTTAATACTTAGCTATTATAATTACATCAGAACTAATTACAAATAATTGTATAATCCAAGAGTAAATGAGTAATCACCAATGAAGAAGGCAATAAGTAAGTGTATTAAGAAAATGTCATGTATAACACATTAATGGAAAGAATTGATATTTTAATATGCTTAATTTCTTAACATTATATAACAATAGCACATTGCGTTTTTGTTTTCTATCTTTAAAAGTGATGTGATTTAAGCAGTACACATTATACATTTTTAAATCAATAAATGCATGAAGTCTTCAGGCATTCTTAAATTTAAATAGAATATTATAAAATTCCTTGTTGATGTGATAATAGTTATTGTTTCAGAAATTCAATCAAAGTAAATAATACAAACTTGATGCAAGGAATGTCATCTTTTACCGTAGAGCCCTCAACAAATAGTACGGAGTAATAGTTTGTTATTTTGTTAACTGTTTTGACAGTTTAGCCAAGACTGCTCTATGTAAAGATCATGGACATATGTAATATTAGTATAGTAGTATGGAAATGTAAAGATCACAATCAATGTTCTAAAAGGCGCTAGTCAGGCGCCAACCCAGCGCCTAGCGCCTAGTCGGCTAGGCAAGCGCCTAGGCGGGGACTAATCGGGAGACATCAAAATTGTAGTTTTATCAATATTTTTGCATAAATATGATTAGTAATGTTGTGTTTGTGTGTGTCTAAAAAATACACACACATACACATTAACATGCATGAATGATAAAGTAATCACATTTAATAATATATTAGATCTACTCACTTACTCACTAGTAGCTTTCTTCACATGCATTGTCAAAGTTAAAGCTACATATTTCTTAGGATACTAAAATAAAAAAGCAAAAAACAAATTGTTCGATGAATCTAGACGTCTAGGCGGCCTATTAAGCGCTCTGGGCAGACAACTAGGCGCCCTAGACGGCCGACGAATTCACCTAGGTGCCGATTCAATCAGTCGGAGCGCCTACACCAAAATCGGGGCGCCCGACCACCACCTAACGCCTAGGCGGGGACTAGTCGGGCACCTAGAGCGGTTTTTAGAACAATGGTCACAATCGAAAGAATGTTGGCAAAAAGGATGAAAATGTGGAATCAGACAAATCCGCCATGGTTGATTATTTTCATAACCTCTTTTGTAAGAAAATTCCTTTATTTGTTTGCCTCCGAGGCATGTTTGGACACCCATGATCTAAACAAAGAAGCTTATTTACATGCAGCTCTTTAAGAATATCTTTCAAACCCGCAGCTTGTCTTTCAATTTTATAAGCAAGGCGAATTAAACGTCTAATTTGCTTCCCAGCTTGTTCTTTTATCTTTCCCCATATCAGCCCCTTCTCTGATTGCACTACGTTCCTCTGCAATTTTTACGCTCTCCCTTCAAATAAAAAGAATGAAATAAAATTGCATGAGGAATTCACAATGTTCAACATGTCACATGCATAAATCTAAAGCTGCATTTTATAAAGGGAAGGAGCTCCACTTTTTAAATTAAGCTTGAAACAAAGTATAATATGTATAGTTATATATCTTTAATTTCAATGCTTAAACTAAACTTTTTGTTCGCATCCTTTATTCTCATTAGAGAATGACTGAAGATGTCTAGGAGTCTAAAAAACTTGGAGTATGTATTATACTAAAAAGCTGCATTTATTCACTACTTTTAATCTAATGTTCTCAAATAAGAGCTTTAAAGACATAAAATTTTCAATATTTTTAGCATCCAAGCTAACATACATAAGCATTCAAATTTTCAAATAATCACATATGTTCACGTTACCTTCTCATACATTGCCACTTAATCATCCCAGAGAGCAGTGGCGGAGCTACATGTAAAGATGTGGTGTCAATTGACACCACTCAAATATTTTTTGTAGTTATATATATAGAGGCAAACTTTCTAAAAACCAATTTGACACCACCAATATAAATGAAATGTTGACAATTGACACCATTCAAATATTTTTTGTAGTTATATATAAAGATATTTTATTCTAACAAGTAATTTCACACCACCTCTTTTAATGGAATAAGGGTCAAAGTATTAATATATACGGAGTATGAAATAATTACATATTTATGACTAAAATAAAGGCTTTTTACAAAGGTGATATCTTACGTGTAGTGACAATGACACGTATCTTGAGAAATATAGTATAGTAACTTTTAATCAAATTTTTGTAAATAAGTTTACTTGAGAAATACTTTTCAAATATTTTTTAAAGTGAAATATGTACATATTATATATAAGGGAAAGTTCCCGAAATAGGACTTAAAAAGTTTGAAAATTCCAAAATAGGACTATCATGTTTTTATTCCCAAAATAGGAGTAATTACTGCAAAGTTTGGAACACACTGTCATGTTTGAAGTCTGATACTGCCAAAACATGGCAGTAATTAGTCCTATTTTGGGAATAAAAACATGGCAGTCCTATTTTGGAATTTTCAAACTCTTTTAGTCCTATTTCAGGTAATATCTCTATATATAATAAATATGGGTTTTTGACATCAAATCGGGCCAATGTGTCTATGAAAGCATCATATTTGACCATCAAGTAAGATTTATTTGATGGTTTGACTTATATTTATTATTATTTGAAAGATTGGATTTGAAACGGGAAATGACTTTGTATCATTTTTATTATATATATTTGAGTTGGTGTGATATGAAATAATTATTTAATTGGTTTATTATTATTGATGATAATTGATACTACCTTCACGGTTGATACTACTAGTGATAATTGTCACTAACATTCATGAGGAGTGGTGCAATTATTAAGAAAAAATAGTTTATGTGATTGATATTGAATTGATAGTGTAAAATTAAAGTAAAAAAAAATTACAATCAAATTAATTTTACGTAATTTGGTATGTGATAATATTAGTGGGACAGACCGAAAAGGAAAGATGAGATAATCTTAGCGGGACATAGTGAATATCATGTAAAGTTATTTTCTCTATTTTAAAACCTGAAAATTGTCTCGAAAAAGTAGCATGTAGAAGACGTATGATTATCAATAAGTTTATTTTTAATATCCAGTTATAGAAGTAGTATTTAGTTTAAAAATTTGACACCACTCAAATGAATCGCTGGCTCCGCCACTGCCAGAGAGCTCATTCTTGAAGAAGTGTGCACTTGTCCAATTCCAATTTGTTAAATATGCATCTTCTTTAAAGAAGACTAGAAACATTTTTATCACCAGAAAACTACTCTTTTACATAAAAATACTTGTGGACTCCATACCCAGTGGCGGAGCTACATGTAAAGATGTGGTGTCAATTGACACCACTCAAATA